AAATTATCACATCAGGATCAGGCTTCTCTGGAGGAATATAACAAACTTGTAACTTGGACAATTGAAGCTAAAATAAAATCACAATTTACAACACATAAAGATGGGATTTTGCAATGTAATGAAGTCAATGATCATGAAAGCTAGAAAGAAAGAAATAGTTATTGATTGCCACTAGAAATGTTGAGTGAAGTTGAAATAACCCTGCACCTACATCTGAGAACTTGGATCACAACAACCATGTCTAACCTACATCTGAAAATTCAGATTCAAGACTCAAATTTCACCTTTACTACCATAACGTTTCCTTCCTAGATTTTCCCCTTACACTTAAAGTTGCCTTCTTATCATTTTTTCAGTGATAATTTCTGAAAATATTCACGTGTGTGTGTGTGTGTGTGTTACATTTCACTGTACCACACCTTTGAACGCATGTTAGTATTCATTTCTTAGGCTATGTGTGTGTTTTAACTTCAAATACTCACATTCAATTTTCTGACACCCAAGCAGACCTAAGGCAGGCACAGGTGTCTGTGGGTGATTGTTGTCTACAGTGGCTGCTCTGCAGGGCAGCACTTCCCAGCAGTGTTGTATTCTCCATCTCTCCATTCTCTTGTTCTAAGCCTGTAGACCACCACATTGTTCATCTTCTCTGACAACATGAAAGAGGCTGATGTTACTGTTTCTAATACATGATTTCAACATGTCAAAAGTTTACTACACTTATATTGGGATGTGCTATAATAACTGTAGGTTTTATAACAAGTTAGTGGTGCTATACAATGCCCCCTCTCCTTTTTATGTGACTTCTCTCTCAACACAGCACTGAGAGTACTCCATCGAAGAACAGACATCAATTTTCTGTGTGTCTAAAACCACTAACCTCATAATCCTACTGAAAGACCAAGGGCAGGATATTTTCTCTGTTGCTGTCTGGGCACAGCAGAAGCACCTTCCGTCAGGGTTTCTGACACCCTCAGGATGTGGTTTTCACACTGTGTGTCTTGCACAGTAATACATGGCCGTGTCTTCATTCTTGAGGCTACTGATCTGCAGGTACGCAGTGCTGACCGAAGTGTCCAAAGAGAAGACAAACCGACCTTTGAAGTCCTCAGCATATGTTGGATTCCCAGTGTTGGTGTTGATCCAGCCCATCCACTTCAGGCCCTGTCCTGGTTCCTGCTTCACCCAGTTCATTCCATAGCTTGTGAAGGTGTACCCTGAAGCCTTGCAGGAGATCTTCACTGACTGTCCAGGCTGTTTCAGCTCAGAGCCTGACTGCACCAGCTGAACCTGTGCTTGGACACCTGTGAAGAGAACATGGGAAAGTGAGGGGTCATGGAAATGCCTCAGTTTCCTCTGCAGCTCCGGGCTCTCATGCCTTACTTTGGGCAGCTGCCAGCAGGAAAAGGAGCCTCCACATCCACTCCATGAGATATGAGATTGGGGTACAGTAGTTTCCAGAGACTAATCAGTACTCCCTTGCTGGTGAGGGAGGAGAACCTCAGATTTCTACTCTGAAGGCTTTGCATAGGGCAGATTTGCATATGACCAGGCATTGAACAAAACCAGATATACAATCTAATATACAAGGATCCATATCCCTTTCAGTGTCTGGTGTTCATGTTTTCAGGTGGGTTGTGTTGTCCCCCTAGGCCTTAGCTTGAGCTGGGTTTACGCCATGATGTCCACACTCATGTACAATCTTGCTGTTTGATCTCATCTAGCAGGGAAACAGTTGCCCATGCCTCCCATTCACACTGTGCCTGACCTATTCTGTGCTCAGTCTCAGTGACTTTATCCTTTCCACTGGACCTGCTCTCTGCACACTGAGACCCCTGCAGCAGTCCTTCCCTGCCTATTGCTTCTAACTGGGTGCTGTTCTTGAACTCTTAGGGTCCTCTGCACTCCCATATCAGTGTCTAACCATTCATGATGAGGCAGGTAGACATAAAGTGCATTTATATTTAAAATAATGAAGTATGTGTTCTTTACACACGTCATTTAATAAAAGTTACAGATTTGAAAAAGTATAAGGGGTATATGGGGAAGTTTGGAGAAAAATGAAGTACTTATATTAATATAAAAATTAAAATTTAGTATAATAAAAATAGTGAAGCAGACTTTATAATATAGAATAGTTTAAAGATCTGGTGAGGTGGATCAGTGGTTATGCACATGTACTTCTTTCCCAAAGACTTGATTTGATTTCTAGCACCCACATAGCATAGCTCACAACCACTTATAATACTGGCTCCATGGGGAAGCAAATCTTTCAGTCTCCTTGGGCACCTGCAATCATGTTCTATACCCACAAAAAGGCATAGACACATAATTAGAATAATAAGAACTTGAAAACAAAAAATAGTCTCATAATAAATTAACTTATGTGAAAAGTCTTAAATGAAAATATAAAATCTAGGTTTATTTTTTGTAGTATTGTAAGTGACAATAAATCTGTATTCAAATATGAAGAAATTCTAGCACAGACCATCCATTCTGAATAATTTGAAACCTCATAAAAAACTTTTATTCATTTTAATCTCATTTCTGGTCTTTTATAATCCAAACGTAACTGCACATCATTACAGGAATCAGATTCTACCTACTTTCATATTTGATGCTGGTAATGAGATACAAAGAACAATAATATATTGAGTGAATGACACATACAGAGCCTGGAGTCATCAGAAGCAGAGTTAAGAACAGCCTGGTGGGTTGATACTAGGGATGTCTTGCATCTGACCTAAAGTGAAGCAGTGTTGTTTGAATGTAGATGTTAGTATGTGCTGATAGTGTGGACTAAGGACAGGCAATTATAACAGGATGAAAAACAAAACAGAGGAGTGAGACAGGAAATGAAAGAAATGAGCAACAGTGTGCTGCGCACACAGACCTGACTTTTGTGCTGCACCATCCATGTTCTTGTAGCACAAATGCTATTTGTCAGAGGAAGTCAACAGTTGCCAGCTTCAAAGTCCTGCAGTTTGTTCTGCACACTGGGCAGGGAGAGGAAGTCAAGGCTGACTGGACATCCTTTCTGGGCTTCTGTGCACCTGGCCCAAGGATACAATTGAAACCATAGATTTGGCGCCCCCTGAAGTATCACTGGCTCCCTGCAGTTTGCTGGTCTCACTCTGATGGTCAGAGCATCATGTTACTCCCTTATATAAAACACTTTGTCAGGGATAAAGTCCTGTCTCAATGTCACACCATGATTTGGACTAGAGAAAGATGAGATTGCAGAATTAAATAATTTTCTGATAATTTCAGTTTATGACTTGAAATCATGTCTTTCTTTTCTTCTGCTCTTGACATGTGGATAAGCATAGGTGACTTCTTGTGGTGAGTGAAACAGTTGGGTAACCAGGAGCATTGAGATGCAGCCCTTGTCAGATACTGATGTGGTAGGGCAGGCATGGCTCTGTGTGAGACAAAACTTCTCTTATAATAAATTAATCAATTCCTTTTGTGATGTTAATTGGTTTTTTGTCTGAGTGGACACAGATGTGTCACAATTGGTGACTTAGCTTAGAGTGTTAGTCCTAGATGTGTCTATACATGTCTCACACAGGACAAGAGAAAGGACATTTTAGTCTCTGGTGTCCTCTGCTTCTATCTCTCTCACTGTGGCATAATCTCAGAGCCTCATTGAGAATCACATGAATGTTTTCCTCATGGAAGTATGCAGATATATTCACGGTACCATTCTCAGGTTTATTAATTTCCATTGAAATCACTGTTTGTCCTTTAAATCTATCTGTTCATCATGCTCAAGTTTTATGGGAAATTCACATGGGTAAACATTTCAATGATCAGAAACCTTTAAAGTTAAACCTTTTGCAAAGCTGGGGATACCCTAGCTCTCTACTTCCTAACATTACTTCAATCTCAAAGAAAATTATGATCCCTTATTCACACCCCATGTTTCCAGGCCCTCCTCCTCATTTGCCTGCCTGTCTCTATAAATTTCTCTGGACTTGAGTCTCATGGAGACAGAAATATGGTGTATAAAATAATAGTCTATGATTCTTTTCACTTTTAATCTCCTCCAAGTTCATTCACACAGCAGGATAGAAATCATTGCATGCATGCTAAATATTGGGAATACTACATGAAATTTTATGGAAATAGCACATATGTTCAGTCATTCAAGAGTTGATTTCTGCAATAGAGTGTCATAGCTTATAAGGCAATTATTATCTGTGTATCAATTCTGATAGAATTTCCATACTTTGGTATTTTATGGTACACCACAATAAGGCAAACTGATGGATCAAATGTTAACTCTTTGTTTTGAGTTTTGATTCTCTTTCTACAAGCCTATTTTGTGTTCCCTTTAAGTGTGTGTGTGTGTCTGTGTGTGTGTGTGTGTGTTAAGTGTTGTGGATATGTACAGTTGTGGACACAGGTTAGTGTGCTTGCGTGTATAAACACATATAAAGGCTAGAGGGAGATTTTGGGTGTCTTTCAACTACTACCTGATAAGCCATTCTTAAAATAGAGTTTCTAACTGAACATGAAGTTCATCAATTAAACCTAAATAAATTGTCTATAAACTTCAATGATCCACTAGTCTGTCCCCCAGTGTTGGAACTATAGATACCCACTGCCAACCCCAGCATTCTACATGGATACTAGGGATCCCATATTTGAGTCTCTTGCTTATATAACCACTTTGCCAACAGAGCTGTCTTCCCAACCCCCACTTTTCTTTCTTTTAGGGCATTTTTGATTGAACCCAGGGCTTAAAATATACTAGATAAGCACTGTGTTACTGAGGTATATCAGCTGCCCTCACTTGTCACATGTTGATCATGAGATCATTTCTGCTGTACCTTTCCTATGACAGTGTGGAAATGACATTAGGTATAGATGAATAGTTCAAAATACTAAGTTTGATACAACAAGCATATAGGAATTACTCCAAAGTGTAGATAGTTTTCTTTCATATGATAATTTAATTTCTTTGGATAGACAGCAAGGAATAATATTGATAGGTTGCATAGCAATTCCACACTAATTTATTAGCACCTTCCTTAATAATCATTTGTCAGTTTCTCTGAAGAGTCAAGAACAAAGGTCCATGAAAATCAGATAGGATGTCAATATCAGACCAAAGAAACAATTGCATTCAAGTCCTATTTGTCAATTCAAGGATTTGTGTAGATTGAGTCATCTGAATTAATCTCAGTTAACCCTTTAACAAATACATACAATATTGCCCCCTAAGACAACATGGAGGAGAAAATATGTAATTGTAATGTAGAGGAAAGTTTAATGTCCTTCAGTCTACCTCAGCATCAGTTAAATTTGTGTTAACCATGATTGCATGGTGATATGAGTAAGGACATTTCTTACCTCAGAGATGATGTTTAATGTTTGTTCCTGTGATACTATTTCATATCCTTAAAACAAGAAAAACCATCTCTCAGCAATTGCTTCTAGGGCAGGAAAAGACTGTTCCAAGAATTTAATTTAATATTGATCCATCAAGCCAAAGTTAATGTGGAACTTTGAAAGGATGGAAGACTTGGCTGAAGAACCCTAGCCTATCAATCCTGGAAATCAACACTATGGAACTTGGATGGACCCACTATATGTCAATATTTTATGTATAAAGCTCTTAAACAAGTGTTGATTAAATTTCCTGAGGTATTAGTCATTCATTATATGTATGACATTCTCCTCTCCTACTTGTTTAATCAATAATTAAATAAGTGGTTAACATTCTTGTTAAGTAAAGGTTTATTAAATAAACAAAGATTCAGATGTTGCCAGAGTTCTCAAAAGAAAAAATAAAATGATTAAGAAATATCTTTAAAGTATTCAAACATTTAAGGTATCATGAGTATGCAAATTCAAACTATTTTGAGAATTCTTATCACAGTCAGAATGGCTAAAATAAAGGAAAAAAAATCTGGCAAATACATCAGGGAGTGTGTGGGAGAAGGGAATCTTCATTCACTGTTGGTTGCATAGCCAATTGGTGCATCCACCATAGAAATCAGTGTGGCTAACATTCAAAATGCCAAAAGTTGTTCTATCACATGACCCAGTCATACTCATTCTTGGCATATGTGCAAAGGACTGGACATCCTACTCCACAGACCTTTTCTGTTCAATGTTGATTGCTGGTCAATTCATAACAGTTAGGAGATGGTGACTCTTAACAGAGTAATCATGTCTACTTTAATAACCACTTAGAATCTATTCAAAGGGGGCAGCTAAATGATTCTGGGCAACAAGAAGTGAGAACACCACAAACCAGGCTTTTCTGATGCCTTGAAGGAGCCAAATGCTGAGCAAAGGCTGAGCTCCTGGGGAACTGCCCAGCTCTTTATACACATAAGGTCAGATTTGTGTATGGTTGAGCACAGCAAAACAGCAGAAGTGACTATGGGACATACAGAGTATGAATGTGAAATCCGCAAAAGTACAGAGGAGTCAGATATGAACCT